CTCTGCTTCATCTTCTTCTCTTCTCTCCTCTCTCCTCTCCTCTCTCCTCTCTCCTCTCTCTCTCTCTGCTCTCCTCTGCTTCATCTTCTCCTCTGCTTCATCTTCTTCTCTGCTTCATCTTCTCCTCTCTTCATCTTCTCTGCTTCATCTTCTTCTCTGCTTCATCTTCTCCTCTGCTTCATCTTCTCTGCTTCATCTTCTCCTCTGCATCTCCTCTCTCCTCTGACCTCCTCTCTCCTCTCCTCTGACCTCTCTCTCTCCTCTGACCTCCTCTGATCTCCTCTTCTCCTCTCTCCTCTGACCCTCTCTTCTCCTCCTCTGCTTCTCTTCTCCTCTGCTTCTCTTCTCCTCTCTCTCTTCTTCTCCTCTCTTCTCTTCTCTGCTTCATCTTCTCCTGCTTCATCTTCTCCTCTCTCTTCATCTCCTCTGCTTCATCTTCTCCTCTGCTCCTCTCCTCTCTCTCTCCTCTGCTTCATCTCCTCTCCTCTCTCCTCCTCTTCTCCTCCTCTGCTCTCTCTCTCTCTGCTCCTCTCTTCTCCTCTGCTTCATCTTCCTCTCTCTGCTCATCTTCTCCTCTGACCTTCTCTTCTCCTCTCTCTCTTCTCTGCTTCTCTCTTCTCCTCTCTTCTCTTCTCCTCTGCCTCATCTTCTCCTCTGCTTCTCTTCTCTCTCTCTTCTCCTCTGCTTCATCTTCTCCTCTGCTTCTCTTCTCTCTGCTTCTCTCTCTCCTCTCTCTCCTCTGACCCTCTCTCTCTCCTCTCTCTCTCATCTCCTCCTCTGACCCTCTCCTCTCCTCCTCTGACCCTCTCTCTCCTCTCTCTCTCTCTCCTCCTCTGACTCTCCCTCTCTTCTCCTCCTCTGACCTCTCCTCTCCTCTCTCTCTCTCCTCCTCTGACTCCTCCCTCTCTCTTCTCCTCCTCTGACCTCTCTTCTCCTCCTCTGACCCTCCTCTCTTCTCCTCCTCTGACCCCTCTCTCTCCTCCTCTGACCCTCCTCCCTCCTCTCTTCTCCTCCTCTGACTCCTCTCTGACCCTCTCCTCCTCCTCTGACCCTCCTCTCTCTCTCTCCTCCTCTGACCCTCTCTCCTCCTCTGACCCTCTCTCTTCTCCTCCTCTGACCCTCTCTCCTCCTCTGCTCCTCTGACCCTCTTCTCCTCCTCCTCTGACCCTCTCTTCTCCTCCTCTGACCCTCTCCTCCTCCTCTGACCCTCTTCTCCTCCTCTGACCCTCTCTTCTCCTCTTGTCTCTTTGTGTTTCAGGAGGTTGATACTCCAGACTGTAATGGACAGACTCCTCTGATGTTGGCCGCTCAGAAAATCATTGGGTGAGACTCAGATTTACAACATTTGTCAAGTTTAAAGTACAGAAGTTTTATCCTCATGACTTAAAAACCTTTAGATCTGGTCATTTTTTTCTAGATACTTAAACTTAGGACAAAACTCGGACTAAAATGACTCCAAACAATAGATAAACTTTCACTTTTTCCTTTATTAGATGGTCCCTGTTGTGTGTTAAAAAGCCACGTTTACATCAGAGCTTTAATTCTGAATAAAAATGAATTCCTCTTTAAAAAAATCCACGTAAACACTTAATTCCTGATGAAACCGCCTCTCGTGTTCCAGGCCCGAGCCGACCCACTTCCTGGTCCGTCACGAGGCGAGCGTGACGGCCGTGGACGCCTCCAACAGGAACACGCCGCTGCACTGCGCCGTGTTGGCCGGAAACGTGGACGCCGCCCACATCCTGCTGGAGGCGGGAGCCAGTGTGGACGCACAGAACAGCAACGTGAGGAAGAGGAGGAGGGGAGGATGAATGAGGGGGAGGGGAAGAGGGGGAGAGAAAAGAAGAGGGGGAGAAAAGAAAGAGAGAAGAGAGGTGTAGTGTTATAGGCTTTTTAGCTACCGTAATTTCTGGACTATAAGCCTCTATTTTTCTCTCACACCTTGAACGCTGCAGGTTTTGGGGGGTTTTTTGAGTGCAGAAAGTGCCACTGTCTGCGCCGTTCACATGGAGTTACAGTGTTAGGTTGCGCTGTTGTCAGCTTTAAAACAGTTTATCTTTGTGTGATAAAATAAGTGCTGATGCTAACTGAACATTAGTGAGGGGGATACGTCTTAAACGTCTGATGTGCGGCTACTAAAGTTTGAGACGTTTCTTTTCGTCATTTACACAAACTCAAACCTGATCCATACACCTGTCCCCGCCCCCGAGAGAGTCTGAAATCTGCTGAAATCCTTCAAAACACCGACATGATACAGACAGAGCAGAGACTCGAGGAAGATGCTGTTTGATTGTGTTTTTGAACAGTTATTTTGCGCTTCATACACACGCCCTCCTCATGGAAGAACACACGAAGAAATGAAGATGATGAAGCTTTTAAGTTAAAGGTGTTGGACGTGGCTGTTGAAGAAGGAAACAGAGCTGCTGCTGCTGCTGCTGCACGTGAGCTCGACGTCAGTGAGTCGCTGGTGAGACGATGGTGACGGCAGCGTGAAGAACTGACTCAACGCAAAAAGACGACAAAAACTTTCAGAGGCTATAAAAGCAGAAGACCTCAACTTGAAAACGTTCTTGAAGACGTGAACACCTGCCGCTTATAGACAAGTGTGGACTATATATGTACAATTTAAAACATTTTGTTAAAATTTTGTTGGTGCGGCTTATATTCAGGTGCGCTCAATAGTCCGGAAATTATGGTATTTAAATCCTTTATTACGTAACTTTTAACCAAAATATTTTATATATAGATGTATACAATTATTTTTTGTTTATATTAGCGTATGCCGGAGTGTGATTACACATGTCTTTTGTTTTGTGTGTTTGTTGTTTCAGGGTCACACTCGTCTAGAATATTTTGTGTGTTTGTTGTTTCAGGGTCACACTCCTCTAGAATATTTTGTGTGTTTGTTGTTTCAGGGTCACACTCGTCTAGAATATTTTGTGTGTTTGTTGTTTCAGGGTCACACTCCTCTAGAATATTTTGTGTGTTTGTTGTTTCAGGGTCACACTCCTCTGGAATATTTTGTGTGTTTGTTGTTTCAGGGTCACACTCGTCTAGAATATTTTGTGTGTTTGTTGTTTCAGGGTCACACTCCTCTAGAATATTTTGTGTGTTTGTTGTTTCAGGGTCACACTCCTCTAGAATATTTTGTGTGTTTGTTGTTTCAGGGTCACACTCCTCTGGACTTGGCTCATCAGGTGCACAGTCCTCTGCTCATCCACATGTTAAACCTCGTCAAACAGGAGAGGGCGCACTCCAGCTCCCGCTGCCTCCGCCTCGCACACACACACAAGGTACACACACACACACACACACACACACACACAAGGTACACACACACACACACACACACACACACACACACACACAAGGTACACACACAAACACACACACACAAGTTACACACAATAGACTGTATACAACTGGACAGAGTAAACAAGTAAGTCTTTATTTATATAAAGACTTAACACAGACATTTTCTGTCCCCAAAGACACTTTGCACAGCGTTATTCAGCATTGTTCATTCAGCATTCATTCATTCACTCTATATATTGTAGCCACAGCTGCCCTGGGGCACACTGACAGAAGCGCGGCTGCCATGCCGTCGGTCCCTCCAACCACCACCATCACTCACACACACACCACTTTCATACGAGGCAATGTGGTGAAGTGTCTTGCCCAAGGACACAATGATTGAATTGATTGTGTTTAAGTGTCCTTGACTCTCAACTGTTCATGGACCTGGAGCAGGTTTTGGGTTGATGGAGGAAACCGGAGGAAACTCATCCAGACACGGGGAGAAACATGCAAACTCCACACAGAAAGACCCGAGCGACACAGGGATCGAACCCAGAACCTTCTTGCTGTGAGGCATGAGTGCTAGCAAACATCGGCACACATTGACAGCATCGTTCAATTCACCTTTCTATTGAAAAAACGTTGCCTCTCTCTCTGTAACTGCTGCTGTCAGGCTTGTCATTTTGGCCTCAGACAGAGCAGTGCCTACAGTTAGCATCACCCCCAGGGAATGTTGATGAAATCAGCTGTAAAAGTGTCAGTTCTACTGTTTTAAAGCCGTCGTAGAGTCGACTAGTGCGTCTCCACCTGTGTCGTAAAAATGTTGGTCTGTTCGGGGTTGCTGGGCGTCTCCCTTAGAGACAGAGTGAGGAGCTCGGAGTAGAGCCGCTGCTCCTCCACGTGGAGAGGAGCGTCTGAGGGGAGGAGCTCGGAGTAGAGCCGCTGCTCCTCCACGTGGAGAGGAGCGTCTGAGGGGAGGGCGTCTGTTCTGACGTCTCCTGAGCATCTCCTTCGGGAGGTGTTCACGTCCCAGGACACTCTGCAGGGACTATGTCTCTGGACTGGCCTGGAAACACCTCAGGGTCCCCCCGGAGTAGATGGAGGAAGTGTCTGGGGTGAAGGAAGTCCCTGCTTAGACTGATGCCCCCGTAACCCGACCCCGGGAAGAAAATAGATGGATGTTGTGGTTGTGTTTCATGTTTTGGTGCACTTGAGGAGGTCCAGTGTTTTTTATCGTGTTTCTGTTTCCCTCTTCTTCAGGCGTTCGTGCAGTTCGTGGTTTGCTCCGCTCTCTTCGGAAGCATCGGTGCCATTTTGGATCTGGACTCCGAGTCGTGGCTCCTGAAGGGGATTCTGTTGGCCTGTGTCATCGGAGTCTGTAACCTCGTGTCACGGTGAGAGAAGAGTCACTAAAAACATTTTATCACAGAGCAGCAACGATTAGAGAAGACGTTTGGAAACACGCGGATGACGACTTCCGGTGAATTTCCCGACACTGGGCGTGTGATTAAAAACGTGGATGCTACAAAAACAGAACGCTACAGTGACGTCTTTTTTTATTTATTTTTTTAACAAATTATAATACACGAATTAACAGGCAATTTTCTAAAAGGAAAAAAGAAACAACAGAACAACATCTAGATGAAGAAAACTGGGCCATTTTCTCAGTTTTCCCAGATTTTGTCAGAGTTTCTATCGCCAACAGAACCCAAACAAAGTCATCCTCCACATGTTTCCAAACGTCTTCGGTTTTGTGACGTAAGCGTGAATAGAGCCAGTTAATCCACTCAACGTGAAAAAAGTAAATGTAGTTGTATTTTTTTTTATCGTAATCGGTATCTGAACTAAAGACAGTGACATTATTAAATCAAAAAGTCAAAAAATAATCAACATTTTCTCATTTTCATCAGTAACACTACATTTATAAATATTCTCTGTCTAGAAACCTTTTTCAAACCTTTTTTAAATTTTTATTTTGCTGTACATGTATTAAAGAACAGCACGTAATATATTTAGATCACCATGTTGACTTTTATTGTTTTTAAAATGATATATTCACCGAAAACCAAAACAAAAGTCACTCCAGAACTCAAAATGAAACTCCTGCACATTAGTTTTGTGTCATGTTTTTGTGTATTTATGGAGAATTCTCGTGTTGGAGCATGGGGGACGTAGGCTTGTGGGCGGAGCCTCGTACAGAATCTTACATCTAACTGTAAATAGGGTCTGAATAGGGCCCAGGAGAGATCACTAGATGGCTCAAACATGCACGGACGACTCTGAAACTTCTCCAGAACGTGGGAGAAAAATCCAGAAGGTTGATTTTTGCGTAATTCCCCCTCTTTAAAACATCGACTACTAAAATACTCATTAGTCGCAGCTCTGTCGTGTTCGTGTTTATACAAAAGTAATAATTAAAGACTGACGAGAGCTGTGGTTTTCCTCAGACACACGCGCAGCCCGGAGTTCCAGACGGTGCTCCCCTCCTCTGCGCTCGTGGCCTCTGTGTTCTGGATGCTGGTCACGTGGTTCCTCTGGTTCCTCCCTGATATCCTTTTATTTTATTTATTTATTTATTTATCTAAACCTCAGTCACACTCATTATAATGTTTTAAGCTGTGTTCAGACCGCGATGTCAGGGTGTTCAGTTTATACAGCAAGTCTGTGTGGACTAGGGAGGGGCATTCGATGAAATTTTCTTAATCGATCGTCGGAAGAATTAACGATCGATTATCGATTAATCATTAACGTTTTTATATTAAAATGATCATCATTATTATTACTATCTGCACTAATCTGCATAAATAAATTCAACTTTACGACATATAAACATAACGACTCTAGATCCACATCAGCTGTTTGACATTATAATGTGTTTAATTCAGTTTTGTTCAAATCTCACAGAAACAAAACTTAAAACCACATCACTAATTTACATAAACTAAGTGAAGATAAAACTCCAGCTCTTGTGTCGCTGATGTGGTTCAACTTGTGTTGGATTAAAAGACATGACTCAGGTGAATACAGGTCAGTGTGACCAGATTTGTGTTTGTCAAAACCAGGACAGCGTACGGGGGGAGGGGGGCGGGGCCTCGTCATCCACATTGAGCGACTCTCACCTGGAAAAACTTTTTCCCACTGGACACAGAAACATATGTGCTGCTTTATCCACTGTGCACATGGACTCACACTTGTCCCAACGCAACGGAAAGTGTGGAATTTCTTCTACAAATCCTGGTTAAATCCACATTTGTGCTTCGGTTCGTTACAGACTGACCCACTGTTTGTGTCTCGCTCCTTCTGATGCAGAGACACATGTACACACCTGTTTGGTCACGACACACACAAACATACATTCAGTTTGTCGATGAAAATGAACGTAATCGATGAAATTCTTAATGATCAATTATCGAATAATCGACTAATCATGCCCATCCTTAATGTGGACACTCATCTAGTGAAGTTGCTGATATGATACACACCTGGATACAGTGAGCTTTCGATTTGATACGGTTCAATAAAAATAAAGTCTGAATCATGGCTGACACTAAAAGTCTTTGTTAAACCACCAAAGTTCATATAAAACACAAACATTTTAATCCTCAAAACAGTGAAAATGTCAAATGTGTCACATAAACGAGTTTCCTTCCTCTAAACCAGGGGTGTCAAACATACGGCCCGGGGCCCAGATCCGGCCCTCCAAGACCTTTAATCTGGCCCTCAGCTGATTTTCTACTCAAATATTTGAATTATATTTTGTATTAAAATCTTGTTAATTTTCTGTGGTGTTTATCACAGCAGCGTCTCCAGCGTCTCTGTACGTGGCCCCTCCCACCAGAGCAGCACAAATGAAGACTTGTCTCTTTCCAAACGCTCTTAAAGGACGATCGTTTTGACTGTTGACCGTGACACCCTCATCAGAAAAATGTCCAACATGAGAAAAGTGGAGCCGAGTGCAGGATTTTACAACAAAAATTTACTTATTCCTGTTTACAGACAAGTTCATGTTCAAACTTTGTGTTGAAATTGTATTTTTACCTCCGCCAAGGAGGTTATGTTTTTGCCGGCGTTTGTTTGTTTGTTTGTTTGTTTGTTTGTCTGTTAGCAACATAACTCAAAAAGTTATGCATCGATTTTGATGAAATTTTCAGGATTTGTTGGAAATGTGAAAAGGAAGAACTGATTTCATTTTGGGGCTGATCCGGAAGAAATCCTGGATTCTGGATCACTTTGAAATTTTAGTTAACATTGTGGTAAATGGGGCCAAAAATTTAGTTTCTCAATATCTCGGTTAATTATTGACCAAACCCCATGAAATTTGACTCAGGGATGGACAATGGGATCCTCTTTCATATTCCAAACTGAAAGATACGAGACAAATATTTATGGAAAACACAGTTAATATGAGGGGGACTGTGGTCCTTGGCGGAGTCTGCGCTCTCTGACTGCTTTTCTAGTTCTTAAAGTTTCAGGTTGTTCATAATATTATAATTTTTTGTAAAAGAAAGAGTTCATCAGTTAAAAAACATTTCTGTAATAGATTTGTGTTTCTCTGCACAAATAACTCACTGTTTTTGTATTCTGACTCCGTTCACAATCAGAATACAAAAAACAGGTATTCTGACTGTGAGCTGGGTCAGTTTAGGTTTAGGTTAAGAGGCTGGGAGGGCATCTGGCTCTTTTTTTTTTCCTTAACCGTGTCCTTCACAGAGTCCCGGGGCGCTGGTCCAGATCCTGTTCACTCTAAACTTCACGTGTCTTTTGTATTTTTACTTTCGCTGCTGCAGGACGGATCCCGGAGTGATCAGAGCCACCGAGGAGCAGAAGAAAATGGTGACACTTTTATTTTTAATTTAAATAAAAAACAAAAATTATTAACTTCTTAAATCTGAATTAAACAAAGCGCCCGTATTATACTATTCTCTGATCTCTGTTCTAATGTTTCCTCGTCACAAACAAACCTGAAGTTGTATTTTTCCAAGTATTTTTTTTTATAAATTTTATTTATATTTTTAATTTATTGAAACAGCACATTTTATAAACCTAACAGTTTCCGAAGTGCTGCACAGACAAATTAATACGATAAAAGTAAAATAAAATAAAATAATAAAAGAAACAATAAAATAAAAATAAAGCCAAAAATAAACTATTAAAAAAAAAATAAAAAAATGCATAAAGCTAAGAATTTAATAAAAAAAAAAAAAAAATGAATCAATAATAAAATAATAATAATCAATAATAAAATAATAATACTACTACTAATAATAATAATAATAAAATCATCATAATAATAATAGTTGTTGTTTTTGTTATTTTTAAAATAATTATAATTATAATAAATACATAAAAATAAAATATAACGCTTACATTAATTAAAATAAAATAAAAAACACAATAATAATAAAATTGTGAACCAGTGTGTAATTAAAGAAACTTGGCCCATTCATGACGAACACGTGAGTCAGTTTAGTCACATTTTCTTTGTGTTTTGGTCGTTTTTAAGCACATTTTCTGTACTTTACCTCAACCAATACCAATTTATGTCTCTCGTTATTGTTGGCAGGAATTAAATTGGTCAAAAATAGGGACACCTGGGACATTTCTTAAAAAAAAAAAAAAAAAAAAAAAACTGGGACAAATCGCTGGTTTTGTGTAAATCTGCTGGGACAGGGGACACAGACTCAAAACTGGGACACACGAGTTCTTCCCTCAAACTAAAAACACTAAATCTAGAGCAGACTTTCAGCTCTGGAGTGTTCTCTGTGCACAGCAGCGTCCGCCAACCTCACTGTGAGCGTCCCTCCTTCCCGTGCGGTTTTATCTCTGCGCGGTTTGTGCTGAAATGAATAAATATTTAAAGATAAGATCGTGAACAGATGAACAGAGAGCTGTGGGTGGACGTCTCTTACATTACAACATGTTAAAAGTACAAATAAAATAAATCTACACGAGTTATTTGACCAGAGAGAGAATTAATAGAACCTCAGAAGAACAAGCACCTTTAAAAAAATTAAAAATAAAGATAAGAACTAATAAAAAAGTGATTGTATTTCTGTTTGAGGAGATAGTGTATGGAACAACCTGAGTGATGAAAAAAAAAACCTCTATAAACACTGTAGAAGCCTTTAAAAAAAAGTACTATGAATTCAATTTTGTTTGTTTTAATTTATATTTTGTCACTTATACACAGTGTTGGGAAGTTTACTTTTAAAATGTAATCCCCTACAGATTACAGATTACACACCCCAACAAGTAGTTTGTAACGTAATGTTCACACTGGAGTCACATACAAGTCACATTTAACTGGAAATGTGAACGACCTCGAAAAAACATCGGATTTCACAAAAAAATCGGAATTGAGCGTTAAGCCCTGCAGTCTGAACGTAGACTTAGTGTGTTTACAGGTTTGTCTCCATGACGATAGACCAAAATGATGTCGTTACTGTGGAACATTAGTGATAACGTCTCCTCGCACTTTATTCTGACCTGGGATTTCTCTCTGTGGTGTTTCAGAACGTGTTGGTTTTGGCTGAAGCCGGCTGTTTGGACCCCAGAGTGTTCTGTACCTCCTGTATGGTGAGTGTTACACAAAACGTATTTTTGCTTTTGTTTAGGACTTCAGTGACAAAATACAGCCGTAGATTTAAGAACTTCCAATCCAATCCAACTTTATTTGTACAGCACATTTTATAAACAAGACAGTTTCCAAATAATAGAATCAATAGGTACAAGAATAATAATAAAATCAATGAATAAAAATTATAAAATCAGTAAATAAAGGCAGTAGTAAAAGAATAAAAGTTCCCACGGTCATGGAAATCCTGGAAAAGCCATGTTCTGTCAGGCTATTCTGATTATTTCTGAACATCTGCACCTTTTGTTTTAAATGAGACGACAATAAATCCACTGACTGGATTTAGAATGTTCAAAAACTATCATCTCAAACCATAAGGTGAGTGGAAAGAGTTCACATTTTATATTTAACCCCAAAAGTCTGATGAATTCTACACATTTAGAAAGTCATAAAGTCATGGAAAATTCACTTTAGGTCAAGAAAAAGTCATGGAAAAGTTTTGAAATTTTGTCAGTGAAAAAGAGCCTGAGTTTGTGTTTGTGTTTCAGATAAAGAAACCTGTGAGGACGTATCACTGCTTCATCTGTGACTCGTGTGTCGCAAAACACGACCATCACTCCATCTGGACCAACAACTGCATCGGTAACACACAAATATATACACAAATACACACAAAAATACACAAATATATACAAATACACTCACAAAACACGACCATCACTCCATCTGGACCAACAACTGCATCGGTAACACACAAATATATACACAAATAAACACAAATACACACAAAAATACACTCACATAACACAAGCATCACTCCATCTGGACAACAACTGCATCGGTAACATAAAAATACACACAAAAATACACAAATATATACAAATATATACAAATACACTCACATAACACAAGCATCACTCCATCTGGACCAACAACTGCATCGGTAACATAAAAATACACACAAAAATACACAAATATATACAAATATATACAAATACACTCACATAACACAAGCATCACTCCATCTGGACCAACAACTGCATCGGTAACACACAAATATATACACAAATAAACACAAATACACACAAAAATACACTCACATAACACAAGCATCACTCCATCTGGACCAACAACTGCATCGGTAACATAAAAATACACAAAAATATACTAAAATATACACAAATATTCACAAAAATGTACACAAATATTCACAAAAATATACACAAAAATGTACACAAATATTCACAAAAAATATACTAAAATATACACAAAAATATACTAAAATATACACTAAAATATGCACAAATATACACAAAAATATACTAAAATATACACTAAAATATACACAAATATACACAAAAATATACTAAAATATACACAAAAATATACTAAAATATACACAAAAATATGCACAAATATACACAAAAATATACTAAAATATACACAAAATATACACAAAAATATACTAAAATATACACAAAAATATACACAAATATTCACAAAAATATACACAAATATACACAAAAATATACACAAAAATATACACAAAAATATACACAAATATTCACAAAAATATACACAAAAAATATACTAAAATATACACAAAAATAAACTAAAATATACACAAATAAATAAATAAAAACAAAAATACACTCACTCAACACAACCATCACTCCATCTGGACCAACATTTGCTTTTAAACGTGTCTTGTGAGCTGAAAATTGATTTAAAGACATAATTCTAGTGGCAGTCGGACTCTGAGTCTGAAGTATTTTGTGTGGTTGTTGTTCCAGGAGCGAGGAACCATCACCTCTTCGTCCTCTTCCTCCTCTCCATGTCTCTGATGGGAGTCTGGATGTTCTACGGCGCCGTGCTCTGTGAGTTTAAACTCGACATGAACCTGAGCAGAACGTGACACTCGCCTCGTGATGTGAACATGTGCACAGTCCACACCTGAGGCTCGCTGAAGGATGATAGTGAAAGGAGGGAGCAGAAAACACAACAGACCAGTGGACAGGGACTCATCAGGGCAGGAGGATAAACCCACACACACGAGAAACACACATGTACTGCTGTAGAAAACCAGAGGAATTAGTGAACATAAAACACTCCAGCAGAGGGCGCAGTTGTTTATTCCTTGAGCTTCACCCTCACGCTCTCCTCAGGGTCACATAGACCCGAAGAAAATCTTTTTTTCCTTCCCGCTTTCTTGGGGCGGATCAATCAATTAATTTTCTTGCCTGATTGACCCGCCCCAAGAGAGCTCGAAGGTAAAAAAAAATGTGACCCCGAGGAGAGCATGAGGGTTTAATGATTAATGACATCCAGACAAAAATACCAGGAAGAAAAGATGCTAAAATCATGTTTGAAGTCACAGTTTATTTGCACATTTTATAAACAATCAATAATCCATACCCCTGTGTGTGTGTGTGTGTGTGTGTGTGTGTGTGTGTGTGTGTGTGTGTGTGTGTGTGTGTGTGTGTGTGTGTGTGTGTGTGTGTGTTCAGTGTGTGTGTGTGTTGTGTGTGTGTGTGTGTGTGTGTGTGTGTGTTGTGTGTTCATGTGTGTGTGTGTGTGTGTGTGTGTGTGTTCGTGTGTGTGTGTTCATGTGTGTGTGTGTGTGTGTGTGTGTGTTGTGTGTGTGTGTGTGTGTGTGTGTGTGTGTGTTCGTGTGTGTGTGTGTGTGTGTGTGTTTGTGTGTGTGTGTTTGTGTGTGTGTGTTCGTGTGTGTGTGTGTGTGTGTGTGTGTGTGTGTGTGTGTGTGTGTGTGTGTGTGTGTGTGTGTGTGTGTGTGTGTTCGTGTGTGTGTGTGTGTGTGTGTGTGTGTTGTGTGTTGTGTGTTCATGTGTGTGTGTGTGTGTGTGTGTGTGTGTGTGTGTGTGTGTGTGTGTGTGTGTGTGTTCGTGTGTGTGTGTTCATGTGTGTGTGTGTGTGTGTGTGTGTGTGTGTGTGTGTGTGTGTGTGTGTGTGTGTGTTCATGTGTGTGTGTGTGTGTGTTCATGTGTGTGTGTTCTGTGTGTTGTGTGTTCATGTGTGTGTGTGTGTGTGTGTTCGTGTGTGTTCGTGTGTGTGTGTGTTCATGTGTGTTCATGTGTGTGTGTTCAGTGTGTGTGTGTGTGTTGTGTTCATGTGTGTGTGTGTGTGTGTGTGTGTGTGTTGTGTGTGTGTGTTCATGTGTGTGTGTGTGTGTGTGTGTGTTCATGTGTGTGTGTGTGTGTGTGTGTGTGTGTGTTCGTGTGTGTTGTGTGTGTGTGTGTATGTGTGTGTTCATGTGTGTGTGTGTGTGTGTGTGTGTTGTGTGTGTGTGTGTGTGTGTGTGTGTGTGTGTGTGTGTGTGTGTGTGTGTGTGTGTGTGTGTGTGTGTGTGTTCATGTGTGTGTGTGTGTGTGTGTTCATGTGTGTGTGTGTGTTCATGTGTGTGTGTTTGTGTGTGTTGTGTGTGTGTGTGTGTGTGTGTTCGTGTGTGTGTGTGTGTTCATGTGTGTGTGTGTTCATGTGTGTGTGTGTGTTCGTGTGTGTGTGTTCATGTGTGTGTTCATGTGTGTGTGTGTGTGTGTGTGTGTGTGTTCATGTGTGTGTGTGTGTGTTCATGTGTTCGTGTGTGTGTGTGTGTGTTCATGTGTTCATGTGTGTGTGTGTGTGTGTGTGTGTGTGTGTTCATGTGTTCATGTGTGTGTGTGTGTGTGTGTTCATGTGTGTGTGTGTGTGTGTGTGTTCATGTGTTCATGTGTGTGTGTGTGTGTGTTCATGTGTGTGTGTGTTCATGTGTGTGTGTGTGTGTGTTCATGTGTGTGTGTGTGTGTTCATGTGTGTGTGTGTGTGTGTTCATGTGTGTGTGTGTGTTGTGTGTGTGTGTGTGTGTGTGTGTTCGTGTGTGTGTGTTCATGTGTTCATGTGTGTGTGTGTGTGTGTTCATGTGTGTGTGTGTGTGTGTTCATGTGTGTGTGTGTGTGTGTGTGTGTGTGTGTGTGTGTTCATGTGTTCATGTGTGTGTGTGTGTGTGTGTGTGTGTGTGTGTGTGTGTGTGTGTGTGTTGTGTGTGTGTGTGTGTGTGTGTTCATGTGTTCATGTGTGTGTGTGTGTGTGTGTGTGTTCATGTGTGTGTGTTGTGTGTGTTCATGTGTTGTGTGTGTGTGTTCATGTGTGTTGTGTGTGTGTGTGTTCATGTGTGTGTGTGTGTGTGTGTTCATGTGTGTGTGTTCATGTGTGTGTGTGTGTGTGTGTTCATGTGTTCATGTGTGTGTGTGTGTGTGTTCATGTGTGTGTGTGTGTGTGTGTGTTCGTGTGTGTGTGTTCATGTATGTGTGTGTGTGTGTTCGTGTGTGTTCATGTGTTGTGTGTGTGTGTGTGTGTGTGTGTGTTCATGTGTGTGTGTGTGGTGTGTGTTCATGTCATGTGTGTGTGTGTGTGTGTGTTCATGTGTTCATGTGTGTGTGTGTGTGTGTGTGTGTTCATGTGTTCATGTGTTCATGTGTGTGTGTGTGTGTTCATGTGTTCATGTGTGTGTGTGTGTTCATGTGTGTGTGTGTGTGTGTGTGTGTGTTCATGTGTGTGTGTGTTCATGTGTTCATGTGTGTGTGTGTGTGTGTGTTCATGTGTGTGTGTCATGTGTGTGTGTGTGTGTGTTCATGTGTTCATGTGTGTGTGTGTGTGTTTCATGTGTGTGTGTGTTCATGTGTGTGTGTGTGTGTGTGTGTGTGTGTGTTCATGTGTGTGTGTGTGTGTGTGTTGTGTGTTGTGTGTGTGTGTGTGTTCATGTGTTCATGTGTGTGTGTGTCATGTGTTCATGTGTTCATGTGTGTGTGTGTGTGTGTGTGTGTGTGTGTTCATGTGTGTGTGTTCATGTGTTCATGTGTGTGTGTTCATGTGTTCATGTGTGTGTGTGTGTTCATGTGTGTGTGTGTGTTCATGTGTGTGTTCATGTGTTCATGTGTGTGTGTGTGTGTGTTCATGTGTGTGTGTGTGTGTGTGTTCATGTGTGTGTGTGTGTGTGTGTGTTCATGTGTGTGTGTGTGTTCATGTGTGTGTGTGTGTGTTCATGTGTTCATGTGTGTGTGTGTTCATGTGTGTGTGTGTGTTCATGTGTGTGAGTGTGTTCATGTGTTCATGTGTGTGTGTTCGTGTGTTCATGTGTTCATGTGTGTGTGTGTTGTGTTCCAGTCTGGAGGTCCCACTGCTCCTCTCTGCCGTCTGAAGCCCGGCCGTGGGCTCTGATCTCTGGGTGTGTCTTCTCGTCTCCGTGGGTGTCGTCCATCTTGCTGCTGTCTGTGTACCACAGCTGCTGGAGCTGCGTCACTCTGCTCGTGCAGCTCTACCAGGTCTGTGCAGTCACCAGTCCAACTCTGGTTCTATGAGTCACTGCCCCCTGGTGGTCAGTGCGGGTGACATAAAACTGAAATATACTGAAGGAGACTTGATGTAAGAGGGTTTTTTTACCATGTGACACTGGTTCAGAGTGAATCATGTTTGAACAGAAACATTTTGCAGTGAAAGTTCCACCATTAAAACCTGATTTAAAGTCAGTTTCTTTATATTTCTTTATATTTATATTTCTGGTGTCTTGTCTCTGTGTTTGTGCAGATCTCGTTTTTGGGTTTGACGACGTCTGAAATCAAGAGTCTCGGAAAACTACGACAAAACATGTCCCTGAGACAGAACCCGTACAAGTGAGTAAGACCAGGTTTAGTCCTGGTTTAGACCTGGTTTAGTCCTGGTTTAGTCTTGGTTTACACATGGTTTAGACCTGGTTTAGTCCTTGGTTTAGTCCTGGTTTAGTCCTGGTTTAGTCCTGGTTTTAGTCCTGGTTTTAGTCCTAGTTTAGACATGGTTTAGTTCTGGTTTAGACCTGGTTTAGTCCTTGGTTTAGTCCTAGGTTTAGACCTGGTTTAGTCCTGGTTTAGTCGCCTGCTTTAGTCTTGGTTTACACATGGTTTAGACCTGGTTTAGTCCTAGTTTGGACATGGTTTAGTTCTGGTTTAGTCCTTGGTTTAGTCCTTGGTTTAGTCCTGGTTTAGTCCTGGTTTAGTCCTGGTTTTAGTCCTAGTTTAGACATGGTTTAGTTCTGGTTTAGACCTGGTTTACACCTGCTTTAGTCCTGGTTTAGTCCTGGTTCACACCTGGTTCAGACATGGTTTGGACCTGGTTTGGACCTGGTTTAGTCCTGTTCTAGTCCTGCTTTAGTCCTTTTTAGTCCTTTTTAGTCCTGTTCTAGTCTCGTTTTAGTCTTGGCTTAGTCCTGTTCTAGTCTCGTTTTAGTCCTGTTCTAGTCCTGGTCTGGTCCTGGTCTGGTCCTGGTCCTGGTCTAGTCCTGGTCTGGTCCTGGTCTGGTCCTGGTCTGACCCTGTTCTCTGTCCTCAGTCTGGGCGTGGTCAGAAACTTGGCCTCGTTCTTCCAGCTCAGATGTTGTGGACTTTTCAAGGCGTCGCTCGTCGACTGGACTCAGCAGACGTCGCTGGACCAGAGTCTGTTTGGACCCAGCGACATGGTCTGACCAATGAGAGGGCGGCTTTAGGGACACGCCCACCCGCGGACCAATCACAGAGCTGCTTTAGGGACACGCCCGCTGACGAACCAATCGCAGAGCTGCTACGGACAGACGTTTTCTTTCTGACCGATGAAATGTCTCCAGCGCTTCTCTGGACCAATCCCAGGCTCCGTTTTTGAAGACCATCAACCAATCACAGCCCTGTTCTCAAGACACGCCCACTTTTTTCAACCAATCAGGATTTAAACCACTACCGCGTCACATTTTGGACCAATCAGGCGGCTCCTTTTGTGACACGCCCCCAGATCTGACCAATCACAAGACGAAGGACCAAAGCACAGAGATTTTATTATTTATTTTTGTAGTTTGAAGGTTCAATTCCTGTGTAAAAAAAAAAAATCTGTGAAAAAAGCTGCTGCCTTAAACTGTAACCACTGACTTTTCTTTTTTTTTTTTTTATTTACACCAAATGATTTGAAACTGAATTTTTTAACGAAGACACACTGTGCAAACTGGACTTTTCAGAGATTTGAATCATGTTCTACTAGTTTTTCTTCTCACTGATCCTCGTGTTCTAAAACAACAAGGTTTTAGAGTCGTCCATGCATGTTTGAGTCATCTAGGGATCTTTCCTGGGCCCTATTCAAGCCCTACTCACGCTTAAAAGTACGAGCAGTGTTGGGAAGGTGACTTTTAAAATGTAATCCCCTACAGATTACAGATTACATACACCAAAAAGTAGTTTGTAACATAATCGATTAAATTACTTAAAGTGAGTAATGTAATCTGAATACTTTGGATTACTTGATTTGCCGTAGAGAAACAAAGACGAGGAAATCGTTTTGTCCAATAAAAGAAAATAAAAAGTCCAGACTTTACTGAACCAAATTAAAAATATTATTGAGAGACGACGAGACACGGTCCACACAGCAGGATTTAGTCCTGTTCAATCCTGTTTTAGACCTGTTTACTCACCTTTTCTTATTATAACCTGGTTTAGAATACTTAGAGGTTAAAGACCTTAGAAACTGTTTTGACTGGTTTAGATGTAACTGGTTTTAGACCTGGTAGATAGAGTTTAGTCCTGGTCCTATTTTCTGGTTTAAACCTGTTTTAGTCCTGTTTTAGACCTGGTTCTGGTAAAGTCCTGGTTTAGCTGTTTTAGACCTGGTTTAGTCCTGGTTTTAGACCTGTTTAGTAACCTGTAGTTTAACCTGTCCTGTAGTTTAGACCTTTAACCTGGTTTTTAACCTGGTTTAGACCTGTTTAATTAGACCTTTAGACCTTAACCTGTTTAGACCTGGTTTAGACCTGGTTTAGACCTGGTTTAGACCTGGTTTAGACTGGTTTACCTGTTTACCTGGTTTAGACTGGTTTTAGTTTAGACCTGTTTAGACCGGTTTTAGACCTGGTTTAATCTATTGATCTAGTTTACCTGTTTTACCTTTTAGATCTTTAGACCTGGTTTAGACCTGGTTTAGACCTGGTTTAGACCTGGTTTTAGACCTGGTTTAGTCCTGGTTTAGTCCTGTGTCCTGTGTAAACAGTTAAATCCCTCTGTCTAATCCATTTATTTCAACAAAGTAACTGTAATCCAATTACTACTCACTGAAACAGTAACTGTAACTGAATACAGTTACTCATCATTTGTACTCTGATTACATAACTCCGGTACTTGTAATCTGTTACTCCCCAACACTGAGTACGAGCATGTACGAGGCTCCGCCCACAAGCCTACGTCCCCCATGTTCCCACACGACAATTCTCCATAAATCAGTGCGTCTCAATTATTTTCTGTCAGGAAGAAGAAAACGTTTCACAAATCGCGCCGACGTACGAGTGCAAACGTTTTACCCGCGTCTCCAAAGCGACGCCCGGGACACGCGGCGTTTGTCAAGCGTCTCCTCGCCGTGATTGGGGGTGTTGTCGTGTCTTTCAGCAGACGCCATCATTTATTTTTCTCCGCGCCGTCCGCCACCGACATTTTTTAGACACGGTAAACGCGGCGTTTTTTTCCTCGTTTCCCGCCGTAGTCCCAGCGAAGCCGAGCGCTGCGGACGCTTCACGCACAGTTTGTTCTCTGCACTTCTCCCGCTCTGCGCTGCGTGTGAGCTGCGAACGAATCCTGACGCTGCGAGGTCACACGGTTTCTTCCAAGTGAAACCGACTCATGATCGTACGCGCTTCCTTCTCCAGTCGGCGCATTTGTTTCTTTTCTGAAGTCGTTTTAGATAAGGTGACCATATTTCCGTTTGTGAAAACCCGGACACCTTTTTGTGGGGGGGGGTAATTACACACAGGTGGGTCAGGACTAAACCAGGTCTAAACCAGGACTAATCTTGGACTTAAGGGAGAAAACGTCGAGCAGTTTGTTCGCAAACCGCGATCGGCAATTGCTGCGTTTACCTCCGTGAGGTGCAGAGCTGAGCCGCTCCTTTCTCCTGTGGTCACCTCCAAGCCCTCCAACGGTCCTTTCTGTTTAGTCCTGTTTAGTCCTGGTTTAGTCCTGGTTTAGTCTGGTTTAGTCTGGTTCAGTCTAGTTCTCCTTTAGTCCTGGTTAGTCCTGGTTTAGTCTGGTTCAGTCCGTGGCGTAGGCAGCGCAAAAGTTTGGTATAATCTCAGGTTAACGGGCAGGTGCGGTCCTGTCCTGGCGGGTGCGGTCCTGTCCTGGACTCTGCTCTGTCGGCTCCATTACAGAATAAATGAATCTTCAGTTCGTTACATAAAGGAGGAAAATAACAAAAGGACGACAACAGCAACAAGTTTTAAGAAGGAAGTAAAAAGTGTTGCACCTGTCGATCCTGTCGGAGAAAAGTGTATAAAGTTTGTTTTAAGTCTGTAAAACCTCAGCACAGATAGAATCATTGTAAAATATAAAGTTGATACTTTGTGGATTTCACCTGTCGCAGGTTATTTTTAGAACATAACCCCCACGATAAACGAGGGACACTGAACTCTCACCTCAGCCTGTGCACATGGACTCACACTTGTCCCGACCGGGACGGAAAACAGAGAATTTCTTGTCCAAGTCGTTGTTAAATGCACATTTGTGCTTCAGTGTGTTTCAGACCCACTGTTTGTGTCTCGCTCCTTCTGAGTCACAGACGAGAGACGCTCAGTTTAATGAACGATACCGAAAACCCAGACATTTGCATCACTTTATAAAAAAAAAAAACCCGGACGCCCCGGACAGGACATACAGACATGTCCGGGGAAAAACGGACGTTTGGTCACCCTAGTTTAGATCAATATTTAGATTTAAAACGTCACATTTATAACTGATTGATCCACAAAGTCACAGATTTTAACAATAGAACAAAATCACAGTGTGTCTTCTTTAAAACATCAACATTTAAACGTAAAAGCAAATATTAAATGTTTGGTTCATAAATGAATATATTGCCCTGATTTCTGTGCTCATAATCCCGGTTGTTGCCAGCAGAGGGCGCAGGAGGCCCTGAGCAGTCAAAATGAGGTTAAAGATGTTTTCTGTGGCACAGTCTGGACTCGCTGTGTCGCTGTGGGAAAAAAGGGACGTTTGTACATTTACAGTTTTGTAAAAGTTGCATGTTTTTGTTAAAATGGTTCAATAAATCAACCACGTGCCTGTCTTTTACTCAAGTCCTGGTTTGGTTCTGGCCGAGACCTGGTCCAGTTCCACTCAGGTCCTGGTTTAGACCTTGTTAAGTCCCGGATTAGTAGTTTTAGTTTTAGTTTAGTCCGTGTCTCTGGTCTGGTTCAGTCCTGGTTTAGATGGTTTAGTTCTTCTTTAGACATTTGGTTTAGTCTTGGTTTGGACTTGGGTTGGATCTGGTTTAGTCCTACTTTAGTCTTGGTTTAGTCCTGGTTTGAGACTGAATTATACCTGGGTTTTTTTTTGGGGGGGGGGGGGGGGGTTTCCCCCTGGTTTGGATGTGGTTCAGTTCCGGTTTAGTCCTTGGTTTAGACCTGGGTTAGTCCTGGTTCAGTCTGGGTTCTGACCAAGTTTAGTCCTAGTTTTGGTCCAGTTCCATTTAGCCCTGGTTTGGACCATGGTTAGGGGAAGTTCAGTCCTGGTTTAGACCTGATTTAATCCTGGTTCAGTCCTATTTTAGTCCTGTTTTAGACCTAGTTTGGGACTGAGTTACAGTAGTTTTTTAGGTTCATGTTTAGTCCTGGTTTAGTCCTGGTTCAGTCCTGGCCTAGTCCTGGTTTAGTTCCACTTAGTTTCTGACTTAGACCTCATTAAATCCCTGATTAGTCCTGGGATAGTTCTAGTTTAGTCCTTGTTTCTGGTCTGGTTTAGATCTCCATAAGTATTGGTTTAGTTTAGTCTTGGTTTGGATCTGGTTTAGTCCTGGTTTGAGACTGAATTATACCTTCTTTTTTTTTTTGGACGTGGTTCAGTTCTGGTTTAAATCCATAAAAAACGTTTGAATCTTGACTCATTTATTTTTTTTTAAATTTCAGGACAAAAATTTGAAAGTGAAAAACGACAATAAAACTTTTAAAACAGTTTTAATTCATGTTTTTGTAAATTTAAACACATTTTTGGATCTGTTCAGTTCATCGCCTCGTTCCCCAAACCGAAACCTTTAGGCCCAAAGTTTTTAGCGTAGCAAACTGAAAGAAAAGAGAAAATGGTTTAGTCCTGGTTCAGTCCTGGTCTAGTCCTGGTCCAGTCCTGGTTTAGTCCTGGTTTAGTCCTGGTCCTAGTCCAGTCCTGGTTTAGTCCTAGTCCTAGTCCTAGTCCTGGTCTAGTCCTGGTTAGTCCTGGTTAGTCCTGGTTTAGTCCTGGTTTAGTCCTGGGTCTAGTCCTGGTTCAGTCCTGGGTCCTGGTTAGTCCTGGTCCTGGTTAGTCCTGGTCTAGTCTGGTTTAGTCCTGGTTTAGTCCTGGTTTAGTCCTGGTTTAGTCCGGTTTAGTCCTGGTTTAGTCCTGGGTCCTGGTTTAGTCCTGGTTTAGTCCTAGTCCTGGTCTAGTCCTGGTTTAGTCCTGGTTTAGTCCTGGTTTAGTCCTGGTCCTAGTCCTAGTCCTGGTTTAGTCCTGGTTTAGTCCTGGTTTAGTCCTGGTTTAGTCCTAGTCCTGGTCTAGTCCTGGTCTAGTCCTGGTTTAGTCCTGGTGGTCTAGTCCTGGGTCTAGTCCTGGGTCCTGGTTTAGTCCTGGTTTAGTTTAGTCCCCTGGTTTAGTCCTGGTTTAGTCCTAGTCCTGCTTTAGTCCTGGTTTAGTCCTAGTCCTCCTTTAGTCCTGGTTTAGTCCTGGTTTAGTCCTGGTTTAGTCCGTTTAGTCCTGGTTTAGTCCTAGTCCTGGTTTAGTCCTGGTTTAGTCCTAGTCCTGGTTTAGTCCTGGTTTAGTCCTGGTTTAGTCCTTAGTCCTGGTCCAGTCCTGGTTTAGTCCTGGTTTAGTCCTGGTTTAGTCCTGGTTCCTAGTCCTGGTCCTAGTCCTGGTTTAGTCCTGGTTTAGTCCTGGTCTAGTCCTGGTTTAGTCCTGGTTTAGTCCTGGTTTAGTCCTGGTTTAGTCCTGGTTTAGTCCTGGTCCAGACCTTTACAGTAAATTTCTCCGTCTTTGTCTGTAACTGTTGTCGACTCCAGACTTTTTCCGCACCGAACGCAGCGGAAACACGTCTTGTGCCACGGCTGAAACACAACACACCCGCTTCAGTTAAAGCTGCACTACGGCACCTTGCTGTGTTCCACAGTGTGGCATTAAACCTTTCTGTCTCCATGGAGACCAGACCGGGTCAGACCTGTGGGGAGGCGAGCCGCTCACAGTCAGAATGTCTGTTTTATAAAAGCACCTGTGACTGAATAAATGTAAAGTCGAGCTGTTTAATGTCGCACTGTGGAACATTCCAGACACAGCGACGACGTCTCCATGGAAACAAGTAGGTGTTGGACGCTCAACCAGAAAGTTACATCAGCGGTTTTAAGGCGGGTCAGAACAGTCCTGGTGTCGGTTCCTGCACCAGTTCCACGGAGGATCCAAAGTGCTCACAGTTTAAACAGACAAACTCAGGTCCAGGGGCCAAATTTGGGCCGTGATATAATTATATTTGGCCCCTGAGATCGTATCAAATCTGTATTAGAGCTGCTGCCGCACACAGATCAACTAGAGACATTATTTATTTCAAATGTTATTATTTTATATTCTGTTTGTTCTGGATTCAATGTTTAAGCAAAACTATTATTAAACATTTATTTGAATAAGAAAAAGTTGAACATTAATCCCTCATGACCAGTGCAGGCCTCAAGAAAATCAAACCTGTTTGATCCCAGTCGCCTCTCGTGAGGGTTTTTCTGTCTGTAAGACGGCGTCTCCAACCTTTTTTCTCTCGTGAGCATCTTTACAAAACAAAAATACCAGAGATCTGCCAATTTCACTTAGTCGCAAAGAAACTGAGTAAATATAAGAGCAGAGGCAAGTCTCGACGCTTCTAAAACATAAACCATTATCCATCAAAATAATACATTTACAGTGGTACTATTATTATTATTATTATTATTATTATGCACAATACAGAATTTAGAAATCCTTTGGTGAGCGAGCTGCTTTGGACGGGGTGGAGCAGTTAATAAGTAAGTAAGTATCGAGTAATAAAGTGTCGTGAATGTACTACATGCATATATTAAATACTGAAATCTTTGTTTAAATATTACACAATGAGTGCGTTTACATGCACATCAGTAACCCGGTTATGATCGGGTTTTTTGAGTATCCCGGTTTCTTGTTGGTGCATGTAAACGCAGTAACCCGGTTTCAGTAACCCGGTTATGGCAGTGTCCCGGTTATTAGAAACCAGGTTACTGTAGCTGGTTTATTCTGATAGTAACCAGTGATACTTGTGGCATGTAAACGCAGTATCCCGGTTACTGCAACATAAAGTTGAGTCACATGCGTCCAAAAGACACTTTCCAGCCTTTTCACCACAACAGTAGTGACATAAAATAAATAAAGTGACCCAAACGAGTGAAATGACGTAAAATTAAGAGCTGCGCTAAACCTGCACACGTACAATCTGCACTCGTGTGACGCTGAAAAACTAAAACATGAACTATCTCCTGTACTCACACACACAGAACACAGACTTACCATCATTTCAGCACCTCTTCTGTCACAGAAATAACACACATAATCCACAGAGTCGTGTCATTTAGTCCAAAAGAAACTGATCACATCAGCGGCACAAGGAGCGAGTTGTTTTTTATCGCCGCTAACAGTTTATGCTAATTAGCCAAACGGTCTTAAGTTTCGTTTCTGTAAAACGTAAACAAATGTGATCAGAGCTGAATGATCTGATCAAACGGGCTGATGTGTCTATAGTGTTTATGGTTTATATGTTGTAAAGTTGAGTTTATTTATGCAGAAGATTTGAATGAAGAATCTGCACAGTGGATTGTGGGAGATCTCGTAGCTCCTTAGCTTCTTTCTCTTTCTTTTACTAAATATTATAATATTAGGAACAACCTGAAACTTCAATTTCAGCACAAAGTTTGAACATGAACTTGTCTGTAAACAGGAATAAGTCCATTTTTGTTGTAAAATCCTGCACTCGGCTCCACTTTTCTCATGTTGGACATTTTTCTGATGAGGGTGTCACGGTCAACAGTCAAAACGATCGTCCTTTAAGAGCGTTTGGAAAGAGACAAGTCTTCATTTGTGCTGCTCTGGTGGGAGGGGCCACGTACAGAGACGCTGGAGACGCTGCTGTGATAAACACCACAGAAAATTAACACGATTTTAATAGAAAATATAATTCAAATATTTTAGTAGAAAATCAGCCGAGGGTCAGATTAAAGGTCTTGGAGGGCCGGATCTGGCCCCCGGGCCGTATGTTTGACACCTGTGGAATAGGGAAAAACATTTTTGTGATTTTAATCAATCGATCCAAGTTGTTATTTTGACATGTTAAGAGTCACTGGTGGCTCCTGGTGTCAGAACATGAATCATGATCTGTGAACTTTTAAACCCTGAGATTTGGTCAAACAGTTTGAGGCTGAAACATCCAAAATACGACACAGTGAACGTTCGGCTTTAGAAAAGTTTGACTTGTTTTCCAACTTTTCGGTTCCTGGACGCTCTGATTTTCGGTTCGTAAACGCATCAGTCGGTTCTAAATTAGGTTTGGAACTGGACTCCGGCCCTCGGTCCTGTCGTCCTGAAAACACCACAGTGCAGCTCGACATGTTTGTGTTTGTACCTTTCCTCCTCCCATGATTTTCTCTGCGGCGTAAACGGCTTTAGAACAACGAGAACAACGGTCAGAACCTCCCAACCTCTGAGCGAACTTTGACCCCACGCCGGGAGAAGAAGAAGAAGAAGGAGAAGGAGAAGAAGAAGAAGAAGGAGGCTTCGGGTTGGACCTGAGGGAGACCAGAGTGAGTCAGATGCCCTCCCACACTCCTGTATCCCCCCTCCCCATGTGTGTCAGGGGCCCTCCCTCCTCGTGTGTGTGTCAGGGGCCCTCCCTCCTCGTGTGTGTCAGGGGCCCTCCCTCCTCTCGTGTGTGTCAGGGGCCCTCCTGTGTGTGTGTCAGGGGCCCTCCCTCCTCGTGTGTGTCAGGTGCCCTCCCTCCTCTTGTGTGTGTCAGTGCCCTCCTCCTCGTGTGTGTCAGGTGCCCTCCCTCCTCTCGTGTGTGTGTCAGGTGCCCTCCCTCCTCTCGTGTGTGTCAGGTGCCCTCCCTCCTCGTGTGTGTCAGGTGCCCTCCCTCCTCTCGTGTGTGTGTGTCAGGTGCCCTCCCTCCTCGTGTGTGTCAGGTGCCCTCCCTCCCTCGTGTGTGTCAGTGTGTCATGCCCTCCCTCCTCGTGTGTGTCAGATGCCCTCCCTCCTCTCGTGTGTGTCAGGTGCCCTCCCTCCTCGTGTGTGTGTCAGGTGCCCTCCCTCCTCGTGTGTGTCAGATGCCCTCCCTCCTCGTGTGTGTCAGGTGCCCTCCCTCCTCGTGTGTGTCAGGTGCCCTCCCTCCTCGTGTGTGTCAGGTGCCCTCCCTCCTCGTGTGTGTCAGGTGCCCTCCCTCCTCTCGTGTGTGTGTCAGGTGCCCTCCCTCCTCCTCGTCGTGTGTGTCAGGTGCCCTCCCTCCTCGTGTGTGTCAGGTGCCCTCCCTCCTCGTGTGTGTCAGGTGCCCTCCCTCCTCGTGTGTGTCAGGTGCCCTCCCTCCTCATGTGTGTCAGGTGCCCTCCCTCCTCGTGTGTGTCAGGTGCCCCTCCATGTGTGTGTGTCAGGATGCCCTCCCTCCTCGTGTGTGTCGTGTGTGTCAGGTGCCCTCCCTCCTCGTGTGTGTCAGGTGCCCTCCCTCCTCTCGTGTGTGTCAGATGCCCTCCCTCCTCTCGTGTGTGTCAGGTGCCCTCCTCCTCGTGTGTGTCAGGTGCCCTCCCTCCTCTCGTGTGTGTCAGGGGCCCTCCCTCCTCACGTGTGTGTCAGGTGCCCTCCCTCCTCTCAGTGTGTGTCAGTGCCCTCCCTCCTCGTGTGTGTCAGGTGCCCTCCCTCCCTCTCGTGTGTGTGTCAGGTGCCCTCCCTCTCGTGTGTGTCAGGTGGTGTGTGTCAGTGCCCTCCCTCCTCGTGTGTGTGTCAGTGTGTGCCCTCCCTCCTCGTGTGTGTCAGGTGCCCTCCCTCCTCGTGTGTGTCAGGTGTGCCCTCCCTCCTCTCGTGTGTGTGTCAGGTGCCCTCCCTCCTCGTGTGTGTCAGGTGCCCTCTCCTCTCGTGTGTGTCAGGTGCCCTCCCTCCTCTCGTGTGTGTCAGGTGCCCTCCCTCCTCTCATGTGTGTGTCAGGTGCCCTCCCTCTCTCTCGTGTGTGTGTCAGGGGCCCTCCCTCCTCTCGTGTGTGTCAGGGGCCCTCCCTCCTCTCGTGTGTGTCAGTGTGTGCCCTCCTCCTCTCGTGTGTGTGTCAGGTGCCCTCCCTCCTCTCGTGTGTGTCAGGTGCCCTCCTCTCGTGTGTGTGTCAGGGGCCCTCCCTCCTCTCGTGTGTGTCAGGGGCCCTCCCTCCTCGTGTGTGTGTCAGGTGCCCTCCCTCCTCTCGTGTGTGTCAGGTGCCCTCCCTCTCTTCTCGTGTGTGTCAGGTGCCCCCCCTCCTCTCGTGTGTGTGTCAGATGCCCCCCTCCTCCTCTCGTGTGTGTGTGTGTCAGGGGCCCTCGTGTGTGTCAGGGGCCCTCCCGTGTGTGCGTGGGGCTCACAGTAGCGCTGAGCCGGGCCGGGGCGGGTCGGAGCTCAAGGCGCCGGCGCCCTGGCCGTAGCCGTAGCCTTTTGGTCCGTACTTCTTGCCGTAGCAGGATTTACAGTAAACCTCCGAGTCGTGAGCGGCGACGGTGTGACTGTCCAACGCTTTTCTACACGACACTGACCACAGAAGAAGAAGAAGAAGAAGAAGAAGAAGAACACACCGTAATCACCCTCTGACCCTAACCTGGTTTAGTCCTGGTTTAGTCCTGGTTTCAGTCCTGGTCTAGTCCTGGTTTAGACCTGGTTTAGTCCTGGTTTAGTCCTGTTTAGTCCTGTTTTCCTGGTTTATAGTCCTGGTTTAGACCTGGTTTAGTCCTGGTTTAGACCTGGTTTAGTCCTGGTTTAGTCCTGGTTTAGTCCTGGAATGGTTAGTCTGGTTTTATCTCTGTTTTAAAGATGTCCTGGTTTAGTCCCTGATATAAACGTGGTTTAGTCCCGTTTCAGTCCTGGTTTAAACTTGTTTTAGTCCTGGTTGAGTTCTGGTTTAGTCTTGGTTTGGTCCTGTGTCAGTCCTGGTTTAGTATCTGGTTTAGACTTCAGTTCAGTCCTTGTTTAGGAAAGTTTCAATCCTGGTTTAGTCCTGGGATGTTTAGTCTGGTTTTAGCTCCGTTTTAGATTAGTCCTGGTTTAGACCCGGTTTAGACCCGGTTTTAGGCCTGGTTTAGTTCTGGTTTAGTCTCTGACCCTCTCCTCTTCCTCCTCTGACTCTGTGACCTTCTCGTCTGGATTTATTGGATTATAATTCTTTACAGTTGTTCCAAAAGTCCCAACAGTGAACCACATTTAGACCTGGTTTAGTCCTGGATTAGTCCTGGTCGAGTCTCTGTGGGACGAGTTTCCACAGCGACAGTTTATCAGTCCACGAGTTTCTATTTTTGGAGCGAGAAAGAGAAACAACTGCATCTGTTCAGTCCTGGTTTTGGGTCCCTGGTTCAGTCCTGTTTTAGTCCTGGTTCAGTCCTGGTTTAGTCCTGGTTTAGTCCTGGTTCAGTCCTGGTTTAGTCCTGGTTCAGTCCTGGTTTAGTCCTGGTTTAGTCCTGGTTAGTCCTGGTTGTCCTTTATCCTGGTTTAGTCCTGGTTTAGTCCTGGTTTAGTCCTGGTTCAGTCCTGGTTTAGTCCTGGTTTAGTCCTGGTTTAGTCCTGGTTTAGTCCTGGTTTAGTCCTGGTTTAGTCCTGGTTGAGTTCTCACAGCAGATGAAGCAGGTCTTGTGGAAGCGTCGTCCGTTACATTGGATTTCTTCCGCGTGATAAACCGTCTTCTCACACGCTGCGCACGAAGCTCCGCCCCCCAACTGCGGCATCTGCAACAGGCCACGCCCACAACACAGGTTAGCCACGCCCACACATCATATCAGCCCTCAGTCTGTCCCGGGGCAGCTGTGACTTCGTTTAAACCTTTGTTTGAGCGATTAAACCGACTGTGTGTAAGAACTGAGCGTCTTGAGACTCTGCGCCTCGTTACACTTTTGTCTCTTAGCAGCTCGATACTTTGACGTGTCAATCACACTGAGGGACATCGCTTCATGTTCTGACGACATCACCACATTACACCAACTTCAGTCAAACAAAAATGGTGTAAATATCAATAAAAATCTTCTGCAGCAGCTCCCAAAACACAAAACAGCAAGATCAAGTTTATATCCAAACTTTATGAATGAAACCAAAGTATTTATGTAAAATAAAGTCTCTATGTTCACATGGAATTAAAATGTGACACATTTTATTGATCACAGCCGACGAGAGCAGGAAATGTCATGTCCTCGTTTGACGACATTGGGACGATAATGTTATTGATTGTATCGTGTTTTTAGCTGAACTTGAATGAGTTTACTGGTGCTGGAGTCGAGATCGAATCAAGACCACGATCAGAGTCCTGACCAAAGACACAGACAAGACCACAGAGAAACCACAAGACCACAGAGTCCAAGACCACAGAGTCCTGAAACCAGTCCAAGACCACAGAGTCCTGAAACCAGGACAAGACCACAGAGTCCTGAAACCAGTCCAAGACCACAGAGTCCTGAAACCAGTCCAAGACCAAGACCGAGACAAGACCAAGACTTTTAAAGGCCAAAACTGAGACAAAGCCCAGACCAAGTGCCATCAAGACCAAGACAAGACTGGTTTAGACCTGGTTTAGTCCTGATTTTGCCCTGGTTTAGACCTGGTTTAGACCTGGTTTAGACCTGGTTTAGTCCTGGTTTAGTCCTGGTTTAGTCCTGGTTTAGTCCTGGTTTAGACCTGGTGGTTTAGTCCTGGTTTAGTCCTGGTTTAGTCCTGGTTTAGTCCTGGTCCTGGTTTAGTCCTGGTTTAGTCCTGGTTTAGTCCTGGTTTAGTCCTGGTTTAGACCTGGTTTAGTCCTGGTTTAGTCCTGGTTTAGTTCTGGTTTAGACCTGGTTTAGTCCTGGTTTAGTCCTGGTTTAGTCCTGGTTTAGTTCTTGTTTAGTCCTGGTTTAGTTTAGTCCTGGTTTAGTCCTGGTTTAGACCTGGTTTAGTCCTGATTTAGTCCTGGTTTAGTCCTGGTTTAGTCCCAGTTTGGTCCCGGTTTAGTCGTGGTTTAGTTCTGGTTTAGTCCTGGTTAGTCCTGGTTTAGTCCTGGTTTAGTCCTGGTTTAGTCCTTTAGTCCTGGTTTTAGACCTGGTTCAGTCCTGGTTTAGCCCTAGTTTAGTCCTGGTTTAGACCCTGGTTCAGTCCTGGTTTACTTCTTTGTTAATCCTGGTTTAGTTCTGGTTTAGTCCTGGTTTAGTCCTGTTTTAGTCCTGGTTTAGTCCTGATTTAGTCCTGGTTTAGACCTGGTTTAGTCTAGTTTAGTCCTGGTTTAGACCCTGGTTTAGTCCTGATTTAGTCCTGGTTTAGACCCTGGTTTAGTCCTGGTTTAGTCCTTAGTTTAGTCCTGGTTTAGTCCTGATTTAGTCCTGGTTTAGTCCCTGGTTTAGTCCTGATTTAGTCCTGGTTTAGACCCTGGTTTAGTCTTAGTTTAGTCCTGGTTTAGACCCTAGTTTAGTCCTGATTTAGTCCTGGTTTAGTCGTAGTTTAGTTCTGGTTTAGTCCTGGTTCAGTTTTAGGTTAATCCTGGTTTAGTCCTGGTTTAATCCTGGTTTAGTCCTGGTTTAGTCCTGGTTTAGTCCTGGTTTAATCCTGGTTTAGTCTTGGTTTAGTCTGGTTTAGTCCTGTTTTAGTCCTGGTTCAGTCCTGGTTTAGTCCTGGTTTAGTCTTGGTTTAGTCTTATTTAGTCCTGGTTTAGTCTTGTTTTAGTCTTGGTTTAGTCCTGGTTTAATCCTGGTTTAGTCTTGGTTTAGTCCTGGTTTAGTTTTGGTTTAGTTCTGGTTTAGTCCTGGTTCAGTCCTGGTTTAGTCCTGTTTTAGTCCTGTTTTAGTCTTAGTTTAGTCCTGGTTTAGTCTTGGTTTAGTCTTGTTTTAGTCCTGTTTTAGTCCTGGTTCAGTCCTGGTTTAGTCCATG